CAGAAGAAAGACTCATGAAAGTTTAAAACCACTCAAAAGAGAGTAAATGGTGAGATTAATTTCATTTTTGTCCGAACCCTTTTTTAAATCCCTTAAGTTCCAAAAATGTAAAATTTTAAGAGTAATATGTCATAGAAAGTAATACATTTACATATGCATATGTCTACGCAATGTTACGGAACAATTTTTTTATCTATTAAAACAAATCTATTAAATATTCGTTCCAATGTGACTAAACAAAATTCAGTTTAAAATGAATGAATATTGAACCTCATAGTTTTTTGACATGTTGTAAAAATCTCCACTTTCGCAGTCCTACCTCAAACATGCACCTCGAATGCAACATTTGTCAGATTCATCACGAAACCTTGCTCTCAGAGCATAAATAATTTACCCAAGCAAGTCATATCAAATGGAACTTAAAAAAGTATTTGTCTTTGCTCTTGAGTAATCCAAATGTTTTCCTTTGCCCTGAATGTATTATTCATCAAGCCTTTGCACGCCGAGGCAGAGATTGTGCGCACCTGAATGCGACTCCAGCGTTCACACTTTAGCTCATAGTGACAGATACCAGGTTTCCATGAAAATCACCACAGACTTGGTGTGCTTTCAGATGCATGCGGTGGCATTAGCGTGTGTGAAATATGCTGCTAAGTCTCCGGCGCTATGGTTTTAGATAAGACTTGAGCACTGGCCAGACTGCTTGTGATGCAGGATCACAGTGAAGGATCTGTCTCTCACGCAATGTTTCATTCCCACTTGGTCCGGCTCTAAGGATTTAATACCATTATTGATTTCTCCGTTTTAAAAGAGAGCCTTTCAAATGGCATCAGCAAATGAACTTCGAAACTTTGTCCTCCAGCATGCCTTTGAACTCTGGGATTTGATGAGGAGGTGATGCTCGATTGTACTTGAAATTAGAAGGACTAGTCGATTCAGAATTGTACTTAATTAACCGTGTGATGTGATGATTAATTCATTAAATTAATCAATTTGTGTTGTAGACGACATTGGTTCATACAATATGTCTTTGAATAAATCCAAACAGAGTCCAGAGGAGTGGTGAGTCTAAGTTTTATACATTTTAGAATGTTTTATTCTGGAAAAAAAATATCCTAATTGTGGGCCTATCAGCACTTTCTTTGATTGCACATAAGTGAGCCAATCAGGATCATCTCAAAGGCCAAGATGAGAGATTTTAAACCCAAATTTAAATTCATGCCACTGGCAGATATACTTGTGATGTGCTTAAAAAAAAAAAAAAAGGGGGAAAGAAAGCTTTTTCACAAAAGGTGAAGCGAAAGATTCAGCGCAAACTCATATCTCTATGGAGATAATCTACATTTTTAAATCAGAGTTCATCAACATCTCACGCTTTTGAAAAAAAAAATGAGCTTGACAACAGACTTAGAGACATTTTATAAAGTCAGATTAAATGTTAAATTGCTGGCCGCTGCATTGTTGGAATAATTTATAAGTGGAAAGAATTTCATAATATATTTTCAATTACATATTTGAAACTTGAATCTGTCTTCTTGCAGTATTAAAGTCATAAACTGTTTTAATATTTATAATATTATTAGGTTAAACTCAAAATACCAACACTGTTTCAAAACGAATATGTAACTATTCCATTTAAGTAAACTATTTGTGTTTTCAGAGATTCATAAATAGAAAAGAAATTAATGCATAAGTGCCATTCGTGCCTGCTGTTCTCATGTAAATCCACCAGAAGCTGCTGTTGACTAACTGACTGACCAATCGACTGACCCACCCACCAACTTCCCTAAACCAAACCAACAGTTTTAGAAATTAGGCCAGAAAAAGAAAAGCTCTTGCCAGATTTGTACCACCTTTTCAGATTTTACCACATTCTCACCCTGTTATTTACTTGTTTATTTATTTATTTATTTTATTATTATTATTATTATTTATTTATTTTGTTTTTTATTTTTATTTTTTTGGCTTCTGTTTTTGTCTGACCTGCTTTCTGGAGTTGTTCTTTGCCAACTTCAAACCCTTAAGTCTGCGGAAGTACATGGCGAGCTAACTGGACAAACCAGTAACAACCAGAAAGCCATCCACAGGGAGGTAAGCGGTCAAATGATAAGTGTGTAAAGGAACAATGCCATACCACCCCATAGCATTTTAAAGATGAAATGCAGCCATACGTATTTCTGGCTACATAATCCGCTATCTCCAGAAATGTACATAGGGCTACATTTTCAGGATAAGCATATGTAGGTTATGATTCTGGTGAAACCATTAAAATAAAAATTCTAATAAAAAACATTAAATAAATTTACTCTAACATACAAGAAAAACCTTCACTGGACAAAACAACACATGGCTTTAAAGATATAATCCATCCAAAATCTTCAGCTGCTTACATATATGTAATTGTACCCAAATAGCACATTACATATAAACAGTGGAAATAATGGGAACCAATTCATTGTTAAAGTGCACATAAAAATGTATGGACACAGTTGAGGTGATGCATTTTATGTAATAAATAGACATGCGAATAAAGGTATGGTTTATAGTTATTCATTTCAGTCTACCACGGACCTAGAAACTGCAGCAATATACATTTGGCTTACTTTTTTATTTGTTCAGAATGAGTTTTGGATGTTAAATGTAACAATCTTTCCTTTTTCCACAACAACCATGCTGAAATGCATGCCAAACAACAGCAAACTCAGTGGAAATGCCATTGGGATGGAGGTGCTGATTTCACCTATGACTGACCTCTCTCTGGGCCTCCCCAAACACACACACACACACACACAAACACACTGGACTGACTCCCAGATCAGTTTGTCTCATGCTGGGACAGACCTTGTGTTGTGGACAGACGCCCTGGCTTGTGTTTTCTCCTACACAAACTACAGTAATCGTATTACATTATACTACTACTCATGCCATATCGTTATCTGCAGTCAATCGGCAGCTCTCATGGTGAGAAGCAATCCTATTTAATGCTATCACTACTTTTTTTTTGTATTGAAAGCATTTTTTTTTATCGAAAATGACATGAAATATCACACAGCAGTAGTTTAGAAGAATAAGTGTTTAGGAGCATTTGCTTATTTGAAGTAGATACAAAAATCAGTTTTCAAAGTTATAGTTGAGAGTTTGAGGTCAGTAAGATTATTGATTGATTGATGGGTTGGTTGGGTGGTTGGTTGGTTGATTGATTGATTGATAAAATACAACCTACACATTTTTTTTTATATTTTTCAAAATTTTAGCTTTTCTTGATTTTTCCTCTCTTTTTTATTGTATTTAATATTTTTCTAGAACATAAATTTGAACATATTTGTTTTCGGACCATTATCGTATGCTATTTTGTTAGATTAGCTCCAGATTTGGCTTAAGTATTAACTAGTACTGTATATGCACACATAATATTGCACAGCTTTGTAGTAAGATAGATTTGTGAGAGGTGTACTTATTTATGCTGAGCACTATATATGGGTGATTTTAGAATTATTGGTACAATTTGCATCTCAATATATTACAATAATATTATTGTTAAAGAGAATGTTAATCTCTTTTTGAGTGTATTTTTAGGTTCTCATGTTGTAATGATTATAATAGACTTGACATATAATGACAAAATGACAAAAAACTTTTAATCTTTGCACACCATAGTCTGAATATCTGAAGTTAATTATATAATTCATGAAGTACTAAGTAAGAAAGCATTTTTTTTATTATTAAAAAAGATATGAACAATGAGCCATATCATGTTATTTAAAGTGACTTTAACATCATGTTTTAAAGTTACAAAGATCCAAATAGATTTTTACGCCGTGTGTATTTAATTTGATTCAAGTTAGGATTTTTAAGTCAGTCCCTCAGTTTTTTTTTTACAAACTTACAGTTGAAGAATTATTAGCCCTCCTGATTTTTTTAGCCCCTCTGTATATTTCATCAACACATTTCTGTTTAATGGAAGGAATATTTCTTCAACACATTTCTAAACATTTCATTTATATTTGTTATGATGACAGTACATATTATTTTACAAGACACTATTAAACTTAAAGTGCAATTTCAAGGCTTAACTAGGTAGATTAGAGTAATTAGGCAAGTCATTGTATAAGAAGTATATCATTGTATAATGTGGTTTGCTCTGTAGACAATAGAAAAATGTTGCTTACGGGGACTAATACAATCAACCTTAATATGTTTTTTTTTTTTTTTTATTAAAACTGCTTTTATTCTAGCCAAAATAAAACAAATAAGTCTTTTTACAGAAGAAAAAATATAGGAAAACTAAGAAAAATTGGTAACACTTTATTTTGATGGTCCATTTGAGTATTAGTAGACTGCCTGCTTAATATCTTTTGATACTGCTGCTAAACATTTAGACATTTACCTAACTACTGTATAAGAAACTTTGCAAGTTGATGTCAACTTACAACAGTCTACTTATAATCTAATACGAATTAGTTGGCTTGTATATACAATGTAACTAAATTTAACAAATAGACCATCAAAATAAAGTGTGACCGAGAAAGTCCCTGGTATGTTAAGCATAACTTTGAAAATATTTGAAAAAAAAGAAAAAATCCCAGAAGGGCTAATATTTTGATTTCAGCTGTACATTATGTAGCGCTAAAGTGTCATTTCCTTTGTGAACTGTGGCTTCTACTGTTTTTGTTGTCTAAAATCTGCAAGATCTGATCATCTAATGGTCACAATCTGTCACTTAGTCCTACTCAGCAATGAATATGCTTGACTTTTTACTGTTTGCCTTGAAAACGTCTCACTCAGTGGGAGCCTGACAGTGATTTGTCACTACACTGGCACCGGGTGGCTTTTGCCAACTTCATTAGAACAATGAATCTGCGAGGGCCTTTTCCAGTAGGAGCCAGCAGGACGTCTGCACGCATAAATGGATAGCTTGCCTAATGAGTGCCCGTTCAGTGTCTTTCACTTAATTAGTTTGCCATGCCTTCAGTCAGTAAATAAGTCTGAAATGTACACACCGAACTAATGATGCTCGGAATCTCCCCTTGAACTGATCTTTGTTGACGCTTGGTTGAAAAGAAACGCACCGCATCTGTGCCGCTGTAGTCTTGAACTGAAAAAAACAAACAAAAAATACATAACAAGTATGTAAATACCAGATTAATAAAGTCACAGGACATAAACAGTGGTATTACTTATAGAAATTTCCTAATACATTAACAGTATAATATTTTACGTAGATTTATAGCACTGACATTTCTACAGGGAAGAAAAAACACATGAAATTACGCAGTCGTGAAGTGTATGAAGTGTATGCTGTCATGAAGTGTACCTTATCAATAAAATGATATAATCTATGTGGAATGTCACAAATTTTGTCAAATTAATAACAGATGAATACATGCTGCATAGTTAAAAAAAATAAATTAAAAAAAACTTTAAAATGTTTATTTCTAAAGTAAATTCAGAAACTAAGATGTTTTAATTACAGCTAAATGAGAATATATTGACAATTCGCTAACTATTTATAACATAGTCATACCATTATTTGTAACATAACATTGTTCATTGGTTAGTTTGTTCATTTGCTTATTCAGTGTTTATTGTTTTATTATTATTATTATTATTATTATTATTATTATTATTATTATTATTATTATTATTATTATTATTATTATTATTATTATTATTATTATTATTATTAATAATAATTATCATAATAATACATTTTACTGCTGAACAATATATTTAAATTTCTATATAACTTGTATCATATACACTTATATTTTATATCTAAATATAACAGACATTTCCTCATATAGATATACATGCATGTGAGTATCTATACATGCATAATGAATATACAAATTACAAACACCTAAATTATGTCAAACCAAACGTGATTTTAATGTGACAATTTTTGGCCCAGCACTATTTTTTAATATTACATTTAAAATTAACATTTTAGCTGTAAAAGTCTAGCATTTTTCATTTGTGAATTTAATGTTTGTTTGTTTATTAAATGAATGTTATACTGTAAATGTTTATTTATTGATTGATTGCTTGTTTTCTATTAATATTATTACATTTTTATCACATTTTTTTTCAAGTGCAACATTTAACATAAACTTTTGTTTATTTATGTGTTTGCTTATTGCAAAATCTTTAATAAATCAATGTTAAATTGTAACAATATTTATTTATTGTTTGTTTGTTTGTTTATTAAATATATGTTGAACTGCAAATGTTTATTTATTTATTTATATTTATATATTTATTCATGGCGACGCAGTAGCGCAAGAAGTAGTGCTGTCACCTCACAGCAAGAAGGTTGCTGGGTCATTGGTTTGAGCCTCGGCTGGGCTGGTTCATGGGTGGATCAGTTAGTGTGTGGAGTTTGCATGTTTTCCCTGCGTTCGCATGGGTTTCCTCCCTGTGCTCCGGTTTCCCCCACAGTCCAAAGACATGTGGTACAGGTGAATTGGGTAGGCTAATTATCTGTAGTGTATGGATGTGTGAGTGAATGAGTGTTTGGTGATGGATGATTCCCAGTCAAGCGCATCTGCTGAGTAAAATGTGCTAGATAAGTTGGCGGTTCATTCCGCTGTGGCGACCCCGGATTAATAAAGGGACTAAGCCGAAAAGAAAATGAATGAATGGATATTCATTCATTTACTGTTTGTTTGGTTTTATTAATATTTATAAAAAAAAATTTATCACAATTGCTTTTTTAATGCAACATTAAAGATATTTTTTTATTAATTTATTTGTTTGCTTATTGCAAAATTGATGTTAAATTGTAACAATATTAATTCATTTATTCATTTTCTTTTCTGCCTATAGTCCCTTTATAAATCTGGAGTCGCCACGGCCAAATTAACCGCCAACTTATCCAGCATATGTTTTACGCAGAGGATACCCTTCCAGCTGCAACCCATCACTGGGAAACATCCATACATACTCATTCACACACATACATTACGGCCAATTTAGCTTATTCAATTCACTTATACCACAGGCCTTAGGACTTGTGGGGACAACCAGAGCACCTGGAGGAAACCCACACCAACACGAGGAGAACATGCAAACTCCAGACAGAAATGCCAGCAGACCCAGCCTAGGCTCAAACCAGTGACCTCTTGCTGCGAGGTGATCGTGCTACCCACTGCGCCACCATGATGTCCATATTTATTTTTTAATTTATTTTCATGAAATTTCTAAATCTAAGAAATAAATACATTAAAAAAGAAAATAGGTATAGAAAAAAAATAATAATAATAATATATATATATATATATATATATACTTTTTTTTATTGTATTTATTTATTTATTTTTTATTTTATTTTTTTTAAATAAACCCAATTTCTACAATCTGAAAGCAGTTCCAGGCCGGTTCTCTGTGTGTTCTGGGATGCTTTTCTTTTATTGGGCACAGTAGTAGTGTGTGATTTAACGCAAGGGAGCCTTTAGAGAACAACAAAGAACATCTTTTTCTTTTCAACTGATAAATCCTCCAGTAACATCATGCTATGAATGAAGGCGAGATTCGTCAGCTCAGCCGTTTCTTCCAAAACAAAGACTTTCAAACTCTCAAAGTCAACGCAGTTTTTCCTCTTTTTTTTTACTCACACCTGGTTTTCCAGCAACACTCCAATCATCCTGCTGATTTGAATTGTAATTAGTTGCACAGTACACAAGTTCTTAAGAGAAAATAGCTCATTATCTATTGTTTGGATGTTCATTAAAGAGGCTTGGCTAATTGCTTGTATTCACAAAGTGTTTGAGACTGACAACTGTATTTACAAACAGGTGTGACTCTCAACTGATGCTGTTTACATGATACATTTCTATTCTTGTATTAGTTTTGGAAAACTGCTGTGATGATATAGTCTACTATGTGACCATATTGTTTTTTTAATGGTCTAGCTGTTGTTTTTTCTCTGGTTAAGCAAATGTTTGTCTTATTTTCCATTTTTGGGCCATTCTTCAACTACGGGCACTTTTAGGCTTGTGAAGTTGAGTAAAAAAAACTTGTTCAAAGTTAATGTAGCATAGCCTCGTAAGTTTAGACATTTGCCTAGTTTTAAGATCTGTAGGAGGACAAACTTAGATAAGAAGAAAAAAGTTTTTTTCCATTGTGAACTGAACAATTGTCATTTCCATCACATCTCAATATATAGTTTATTTCAAAATGAAATAAATGATGGCAGTCAAACATCATCTAAGATCATTTTTTGTATCTAGTTTAACTAATCTTTTTACAATATATATCATAATTATACATTTGTCAATGAAATAAATTAGTTGTATGCTGAAGTGTACACCTGTCACACTCTAAAATTAAATATTAATTTGGTTAAGAGTTTATTAGAAAACAAATAAACTTTTTTTTTTTTTTTTTTAAATGTGTGTGGTGATGGAAATGACAGTGGTGGAAATGACATTTCAACAGTTTATGGTGAAAAAAAAAATAAAAATAGCTTCACCAATTAGCTTTGAATTGATACTAGCCTTTTATGTATACAAAACACTCTTATTTATCTTAATTTTCTTTGGTTTTTAAAAACATCTTTGAAGGTACAACATATTTATAAATGACGTATAATAAATGTATTTCCTTATCAACCTATAATTACCTTGATTTTTCTTTAAGAGCTGTTGATAAAAAAATTTATTTCCTCCATCTCAAACATGTTCTCAGATGCACTATACATTTTTTCAGAAACCACCTAAATAATCTTTCACACAAACTTTTTTTAAAGTGACATTACAGTGTTTTGGTGGAAATAACACTGATACTGTGCGACAGCTATATTTTGTATAAAAAAATAATATTGATAATGCTCTCACATTAATAACTATAAAATATTTAACTTACATTAATAGATACAAGATAAATAATATTTTACAATTTTATTTTCATTGTTGAAGTTTAAAACTCTGGGTGTGTAACAAAATGAAAACAGTGATGTTGACGCCTAAAAGGAGGCTGAATAATGTGACAAATATATATAATAGAAAGGTAGTATTTTTTAAAATAGGTTTTATTGTTAGTTTGACAAAGAAGGAGGATTTTGAAGAAAATTATACATGTTTTTGGATATATGATCAAAAGATATAAAAGTGCCCGTAGTTGAACAATTACCCTAATAATGTTAGCAAAATTAGTGATTCTTAGCCAGAGGGATACAAAACAACAACAACAACTACTACAAAAACAACAACAACAAAACCAATGACAACAATAAAAACAATGACAACAACAAAAGCAACAACAACAACAGTGACAACAGCAACAAAAACAAAAAAAGACAACAACAAAAAAATAAATAAAGACAACAACAACAACAATAAAAAAATTTCGAACAACAACAATGAAAACAACCAATACACTACAACATAAAATGACAACAACAATGCTAATGACAACGCCAACAACGCCAAAATCAATGATGACAGCAACAACAATGATAACATAAATGACAACGGCGATATAGAATAAATGCTGTCCTGTCTTTTGACTTCCTGTTTTATATATATATATATATATATATATATATATATATATATATATATATATATATATATGTTTAATACACTGCATATTTTTGCTGCACATTTACAGCTCATGTAGAACCATCAAGAGACCATATTACACCAAAATTGGCTGTAGTGTATCAGTGTGTGTGAGTGAGTGTTTCCCTATACTGGTTGCAGCTGGAAGGGAATCTACTGCGTTAACGGTTTATTCTTAAGCCAAAAGACAATGAATGAATGAATGAATGAATGAATGAATGAATGAATATATTTACTTTTCCATGGTTATAAATAATATAAACATGTCTGAAAACATGTACATTTATTTTGTTATTTTATCCAAAAAAAGCTCTAAAATTTGGAGAAATGTCATCAGTAGTTTGCAGAATAAAGCAAATAAAGTCAAAAACCTAAATAAACTGCAATAATATAGTTATTGCAATGGTTTATTATGTAATAATAATAATAATAATAATAATAATAATAATAATAATTCCATAAATTTATATAGCGCTTTTCTGGACACTCAAAGCACTTTTAAACATTTTTTGGGGGGAATCTCCCCACCCACCAC